TTTCTCAGTGTAGGATTTGGGATAGGAAAAAAGAAGATCTAATACGACTTGCATCTAACTTACAGAATTAAGACTTTGCCCTTAAGCACGGTTATTTTTGTTGACATGGATGTGTATGGGTTCAGCTAGACCACATGTAGCCTAACAACAGTTACTCCTCTTGATCTATAAACAAGTTACTGTCATAAACAGCACTATTATGAGCATCTGGCTGTACCCTCTGTGTAACCCATGAACTGAAATGCCACAAGAGAGCTTGAAATGGGAAGAAGTGAAGTTGTGTGTGTGTGAGCTCCATGGACAGAGCTCTGCCTGGTTCCATCCTTGGGGCCTCAACTCCTGCTTTCCCTGGGGACACTTGGCCATTGGTTGTGTATGGTAAGAGCCAGTAACAGCACTGATATTTAATCCGCTAACTCGCACTCCCCAGAATGGCTGGGAGGAGAACTGAAATCCCTTTAGCTACTCTTTAAGGATGAGCTGTTCTCCCTACAAACACTAATGGGGCAGACACATCAGCAATTAATTTCCTCTGCAGTGAAAGGACTCAATTTGCTTAAGTAACTGCCTAAATGCACTAGTTGTTAATGGGTTAAAGAGTTGTTAAAGAAAGAACCATCCAGGCGTGTTGTCACTACCTAGAGCTAAAACACAGGGGCCATAAGAAACAGAAAAGGCCAGAAAACATGGGGTCACCTTGGATTTTCTCTACCTGGAGTATTGTAAATCCATGGCAGCTAAGTATTCCTGGGAGGCACGTCCAGCCAGAGCCTCACCTGTGGGCAAAGCAGAGAGAAGGTGCTCCTGTTTCAGAATGTCTTCCTCCCTTTTGCACAAGAGGCGTGAACCCTGGTTACACCATTTAGGTCAGTCAGAGTCTGTGTATTATAGCTTTTTAAGTGGGATTTTGGTGCATATGAAGGACTGGCAAGACAGCTTTCTGCTGATCACCAGTCATACTGTTACCTGAAGGTGTTAGTGAGTGGGTTCTGCGCCGGAGACCCTGGGTCCCAGAGCCACAGGAATGGTTGGTTCATTGCCCATCAGGTGTATTATACTGTACAGGTTCATTTGTATGCACGTGTGTGGTACTATGTTCTATAGCACATGCAGTATTGTGTTGTATCATTATCTCGTCACAATATGCAGATTTTTATACCTTTTGGGGGTTTTTAATTTTTCATCATTTGTTATTTGTGTGTAGTATTTCTCCTCTTTGCAAGTCTGTGTGTATAGGCTTCATGGCTGTTTCATAAGGAGCTCACTGAGTTTTAGCAATTCAAGTCAGTAGTATGGTACGAGGGTTGGAGTGCCGTATAAACTAAGGATCTTCTCCCTGTTGGCCCAGTGCAACCCCAATCATCATTAACATTACTTGTCCCTGACCATGGGCACAGTATGACTTTCCACCATTACATTTCTGAAGACCAGAACCAACCTGTAAAACAAAGTGCAAACTGAAATGCATTAGCGCCTGTTCTAAGTAATTATACTTGAAATCACTCCAGCTCTGTACAAGACAGGGAAAAAGGCACTAAAAGGCAGCCTCGAGTTCTGTATGTGTATTTTGTCAGATCTGACAGTCACGACACTGCTGATGTACAGACCAAGATGAGCATTTTACTTTGTTACTAGGAGAGCTGGGACAGAGCTTTGCAAGTCCCATCGCTGTGCTCTCTGCTGCAGTGTGCGACATCCACCGAAGCCTCTTTCAGTGTGTCATATGTGCTGCACTTAACTACAGCAAAGTCTTTAAAATACAGAAATAGGAGCTTTAAGTTGAAATCATGGCAAGGAGCTCATTGATACCTTTATGTTTGATTCAAATAAGCTCAGCTGCTGAATCAGGAAAAATCTTCATGCACAAAGCATAGAAAACTGTTACCACAGCTTTCTTTGCAATTACTGCTATCACAGTATCACAAAGTATTAAAATACAACTCAGCTCTTTACTAGCTTATTATAAATCAGTCTCCAACAGCAAAAAAGGCTGTAAAAGACTCCTAGCAGTGCAGTATTTGGGGACAGCACCACTTTTCTCAGCACAATAAAGAACCACAGAACCACATGGGGTATCACAATTATGATAATGTGAAGGCACTGTTTTTGTAAATCATGTACAATTTATAACCTATGCAGCTTCTTTTACAACATTTACAATGTCTTATGATTTGTTTATACAAGTGTTTATAGACGTTTCCTCATTTTGCTAATAATGGATGTTTCAAATTTAGTATTAAAATTCCAGAAACTTGCCTTGCCTATCAGAGTTAAAGTTTGTCAAGGCCTATTTAAATGGAAAGAAGCTTTAAACCAGGATTAAGTTCATGATGCTATAAAGATCAGTTTCCTCTAACAGAGGCAATTTAAAGTGGCTGCAATGGCAAAGTTCTCAGTTATTATTATTCCTGAAGCTGTGAATTACCCTGTCTATTTAAGGACCGTGGTGTGGCAAGAAGTGCATGATGATGGTGTGGTGGAGTGCTGGCATTACTGCTGCCAAGTGAGCTGCGTTTGGAAGAGCAAAGACTGCTGCTGGTAGGAGCCGGCTTTCCTATTGCCTGCTATGATGTTACAGTCCACAGGCTGAGGACACAACCCCATGAAAGCCCCCCAGAATCCTGCTGTCCGGTGTCAGCCCTGTGCAGAGGAACCCCTGCTGCACTGGGGAGGAGTGCTGATGGGAGAAGGACCAGGCAGGGCAGAGGCAGGGAGCAATCTGGTCCCATGCAGTCCCTGCCGAGGCCCCTGACAAGTCTTGGTGTGCTTCCCCACAGAGGTTCAGTTGCTTGTGAACAAACCCCACTGCAGACAGCCTGGTTGAGCAGCTCCGCTGGGGGTTTTCATACGAAATAGGGTCAGAAGAGTAAACAAACCGTTTTCTAGGAAAGAAAATGAACCTTGGGTGTTATATGTCTAATACACCAGCAGTGTTAGCCCAAGCGTGTAGGAGCTTCTCTTCTACTTATGACACCGAATCCAACAAAGCTGAAGAAAACTAATCACTCTGACCTGCTTTTCTGGGAATACAAGGTCTCAGAATGAAATCTGATGTTCCTCTAGAGAGAAGATGCATGTGCTTGGGGGAGAGAGCAACCTGGTGCCAAATTCCTGTCTTCTGACTTTGTTATAATAAAAGTTCACATAGCACTGCAAAAGCTGCTCTTAATTCAGAATATAAATATGCATAAAGCAATGAACTGCCTTTTAGGACAGGGTGTTTCCTAAGAGCAGCTGTTACTCCAGCAGTCTGCAGCAGGGACTTGTAACGTCATCGTGCTGGTAGCGGATGTGCAGTGTGATGCAAATGAAAATGACTTTATATTGTCCACGTATTATCTGTGTTGGTTTGGTTTGTTTTTTTTTTACACAAACCAAAACAAAAGCCTTAAGTAGTCATAAGCAGATGATTTATATAAGAGTTTTTCAGCTGACAGATGTATCCCAGTGGAAGGGTTTATACTGGCCAGCTGCACTGCCTACATGCTCCTCGGCTGTTCTTCATAGCCTTGGCCAATGGGTAACCCATAGCTTCTCTCTAAGGTATCTGGCACAACAATGTTGTACTCTGCAGTGAAATAAATGCAACATAGCATCTGTGGAATAATGCAGAGCTAACACATATCCTTCCAGAAACGTCTATGTTTTAATCTGCTGGAACGTACCATAAAGTGTCCTGTAAAGGCAATATATTATTTAAGCAACCTCTCTGTTTCTTGGGCACAGATGCAAAACAACTGGTACTAGAACGGCAAAAAAGGGTGAGTCTTTAATTGTGTTTTGACTGAACGCAACCAAGACAAAATGAATCAGAGAAAAACAATCTTCATCCACAAGGAGATGCAAAAGCAAACACTGCAGCACATAGGGCTGTGGCTGGGTGGGGAAATGGCTGTAAGCAATGTTGAAGATGTGTTTGTAGGGGAAGGCTGCTGCTTAATCTCTGCCCTAAAAGCCAGTCGATGGTCTGACAAATGAAAATTTGTTTCACTTTAGAGGCTTGTTCTTTCAAAATGAGAATTTTAAGTTCACACTGTTCTGACCTGAAATATTTCAATTCTAGCCTGAATTCCTATGCCAGCGGGGATTATGAGATCATGCTGTCTGACAACTCCTCTTCCGTCCATCTGTTCTGCTCCTCCTTTCCTTGATAACTTTTGAACCTTCAGGCTAATTTTCACCGAATTTGACATAGCAGAGATCGGATGGAGGCTGCAATGATAATCCATGGCAAAAACTCATGAAAATTCTGTGTGTGAGTATAAAGAAATGAATTATTTCCTACACCGAATGTGCCTGAACACTGCCCCAGTTGAGCTCCTCCTTGTTTTCAAGAGGTGGCTGCTGGCCAGCATGTATGGAGCTCCAAACCAGCCTCAAAATGAGCCTATAGTCCTGCTGGCCCAGCTACACAGAGGGGGATGTGGGTTTGTGAAAGGCCACAGGGGAGGGGGATTGCTGTATGTGCATAAGTCTGGAAAGAGGGAGAGGAACCAGTCACACAGGGAACTGAAGACATTAGTTGCAGTATTCCAGCTAATGGATTTGACAGACAAAACTAGACAATCTTCTATCAGATGTGTCTTCTTTCATCTAGGAGGTGGACTTCAGTGGCAGAGCTGGATTGCACTAAGGACTTTAGGAAGATTTCTGCGTGTTTAAGATTTGCTTTTACTTGGGAATTTTTTCCATGGTATTTCATAAATACACTGGTATTTATGAAACTTAAAAAAAAAAAACAAATCAACAAAACCCAAAACAATACATGAAGCACAAGCCTCCAAAATACTGCTACAGAAGTTGATTTTAGTGCAGTCACTGACTGAACTGAAATGCCAAAGTCTGATGCAATAAGATGGTGAAAGCTTTTGTTCCTTCCCCATTGGGAAGACGCAGTGCTCTGTCTGCAAGGCAATGTGAAAACTTCAGCTAGCCGAAAATGCAGCTGTAATCAGGCTGTAATGTGACAGGGAGGAATTCAACACTACAGCGCTTCTTACCCATGAGAACTCACTGCCAGGTCAGGGTTTAACTCAGAAGTGTCTTGCGCAGACCACATTTTACCAAAAATCAACATCCTGCACTTTGCAGGGGATACAGGTGCTGATTCTGATTCAGAAATCCCCATGTCAGTTGTTCCTAGCTGTGCTGAGCTGCAAGGTTGCTCATTTCCCTGTGCTGATTCACTCCAACAATTGCATTGAGTAAGATTAGAGAAGCTGCAGGTTTAGGAGATGTGGTGGGAGGGCTCAGCCACCCACATAACAGCCCAGGTCAATGCCTCACTAGGGCGAAGTGTAGACAACATTTCTGGATGCAATAAATGACACTTTCTGGAATAACTGACCTTAGAAACCACAAGAAAAAACCCACCATTCTGAATTTAGTCTTCGGCAGTGCAGAGGATCTCATTCAAGAGCTGTTAGTGGGTGAGCTGCTCCATAGTAGCAACCACAGTATAATTAGCCAAATAAAGCAAACGGATACTCAATTTTAAGAAAATGACCTATGCAAAACCAGGGGAAAATGCCAGAAATCCCTAAATGAGCAGTTCAGAAGTGAGAAACCTACAAACGCCCAGGCGTTTAAAAAATATGGGACTAGAAATGTCTGACACAAATAGAAAACCATGGCCCAAACCTCTCCCCTGCATGACTAAAGGAGAAAGGGAAGGAGGCTATTGCGAGGCAAGCAGGGAAGCCTGGAGAAAGGTGGCACGTGAAATGTAGACAGGAAACAAAGATGGTTAAACATGAAGAATGGCTGATAAAGGATGTTCAAGCTGTCAATGACGTTTACACGATGCTCGAATCAGAACCAGCCCTCGCTAGGCTGAAGGGGTTCTGCAGTCACGGCTGAGGGCTTTTCTGGTGGGCAGCAGCAGCCAGGAAGGCAATAGGGATCATGGTAAGGAAGGGCATTGGTGATGACTTTAGAACACCTTGGTGCACCCGCACCTTGAGGACTGGGTGCAGCCTCGCCTGTGCACCTCAGCAGGGTGCAGCGGTGCTGTAAAAGGTGCCTGTGAAATGGTGGAGGGAATGGAGCACCCGCTTTGCAGTGCCCAAACCCACATGGGAGCAGACAGAGCCGAAGAGAAGTGTACCGGCGGTTTCCAGACCGCCATGAAGGGCATGGGTTAAGAGAAGGGTTTGGCATTCACCAACCCCTGCAACGCCAGCACCAGGCATTGTTTGAACAGGATTAGGTGAGGATTAAAGAACAATTACATTTAAGGAAGCGTTATTTTAAGCTGCAGGTTGGATTTTTTCTCAAAGTTTTGCATTTGGCTGAATTTTGCAAAGCTTCTGGGGGTACCACCAGGTTCAGAAAGGTGTTACACAAATTCACGGACATAAAAGCCCATGAAAACACGATAACAGAACTAAGCAGGGATGAATTACTAATAGGGAAGCTGTGCACACACGAGCGGTAGGAGCGGCCACCGTGAGCCACCTCCTTCAGCTTTGAGGGGGCCGGTGGGCACACATGGCTGAGGCCCGGCGTTGCTCAACGCCAAGCTGCAGCCTGCTCTCCGCCATCCTCTTCCCTGCCCTGCGCTGGGCGCAACGGGACACGCCAGAGCGACCGGATGGAGGCGAGAGGGCGGCCGGCAAGCACCAAGGCACCGAGCTCCGACCGGCACCCCCTGAGGCGAAGCTCCGCCCCTCCGCCCGCCTGCGTGACGTCACCGGGCAGAGGGCAAGCGCCGGCCAATCCCGCGTCCCGTATCGGCGACGGGAGCGTGGGGGGGGTGCGCGCGCAGGCGTGTCTGGGCGGCCGCGCGAGAGCGGCGCGTGGCGGGCCTTTCGAGCCCCCGGGGCGCGCGCGCTCCCTCAGGCTTCCCGCCACTTCCCCGGGGCGCTGAGGTGAGTATCGGGGTCCGGGCCCGCTCGGAGCGGGGCGGGGGGAGCTCAGCGGCCGCAGCGCCTCCTCGTCCCCCCCTTACCCTGCTCCGGGCGACTCTAGGCCGAGATCCCACTTGGCGCTGTGGGCAGCAGCTGCGCCGCAGTTGGGACTCGGCCGGAGGGTGTTTCTGCGCCTCGCCTGAGGGTCCCGTTTGCGCGCTGAGGTGGCTGTGGTGATCTGGGGACGGGAATGGTGGACAGCTTCCTCAGGGGTCTTAAGATACTTGTGGTGTTTGATGGCGGCTTGAGCGGCCGTGCATAAGCGTACATAAAGGTACGTGACCTCTTTTGTGTTTATTAGCCCTGTTTTAGTGGGGAAGACAGAGGGCAGTTGCAAAGCTGCCCTGGGGCATGAAACTTGCAAAGCAAATTGTGTTTCTTGTGTAATCCGTAAGTGTAAGCTACATTAAATACATACCGAATTTCAGAAGGGTGCTTTTAGTTGTTAAGCACTCATGCCCTCCAGGCTGGCTGAGAGAGTGGGGTGTTCTGTGGGACGCATGTTCCACCAAGCTAAAAAAAACCCGACCAACCAAGCTGGATATTACCGCAGAATTGCAGAAAAGGCCTTCTGTCTTCCTTGATAATTCATGGAATCGTAGAATGGTTTGGGTTGGAAAAGACCTTAAGATCATCCAGTTCCAATCCTCCTGTCCTGTTTGCTGCTTGCACTCACCTTAGGATCCCAAAGCTAATTTGGTTGCTGGGTGTTCCCCAAAGCATCAAACCCCTTGACATTTTTAAGTTGTGACTATTTTCACTGGAGTATTTACACTGATATTAACTTTTTTATAATTTGTCAAAGCCCTGCATTATTGTGTTGAGATATTTTTACATTAACAGATTCCTTGTTCTGTTCGCAGAGGAAACTTTAAAATGAAGGTCCAGAAGACAAGATTCTGTATGTTGCAGAAGTAAAATCTTTATAAAGAAGATCTCAAAGTGCAGTGTAATCTCACTGTTTAGCTTTTAGAAGAAGCTGAAAGCTCCTCTCACTTTGGAAGCTTGATTGTGGGTGGGTGTTTTTGTTTTATTTAATGTGAGTAAAACTATATGAGTGAATCACTTCTGCAGCCAGTGAATTACTCAATATTTACACTTGTTTCTTTTAAATTTACTATTAAAACAGAGTACCAGGATTAATTTAAGTGAATTAAGGAAAAACATAGGTGTTTGCAAAGATCAGGCATCTAATTGAGGCAAAAATGTGTCCTGATTTGATGAAAAATTGTATTAAAGAGATCCCTGAAATAAAAATTGCTTTATAGTCTTTGAACATCTGATCCAGAATAGCATTCAGTTTTCTGGGTGATCTGACACTTCCTTTTCCCTGTGCAGACTCTTTATATTAAAATACTGAATGTTCATTTGAAATGACGCCAAAATTACAGCTGGAATAATACCCCAGATTTTTTCCATGTATTTGGATCTTTTCTTTTTTACAAAAAAAAACCCAAACCCTAAAACTTTAATCATGAACTGTGGAAATGATTTTGTGGCAATTCTCAAGAAAATTGGATATCCAAAAGCTGATGAGCTTAAAGGAGATGATTTTGACTGGCTGGTTGAATCTTTGAAAAGCAGATCATTCCTGGAGTGTTTTTTTAGCAATATAAATAAGCAGTATGTGGTATCTGAACAAGAACTGCAAGAGTTTGATAATTTTCGTGAGTCTGGTAAGCCCGTTTTGGAGGGAAATGCACTGGATGAAGTCCTTAAAACTCTGAAGCCTGTGGATTCAAAGAGCAGTAGACAAGAGGAGGAGGAACTGAAGACATTAAAGGATGAGCTTCAGATTCTTCAGAAGTTAAAAAAACTTCAAATTCATCGGTATAATAAGCTTCAAATGATGGTTTCTGAAAACAGCCATCTGTTACAGATGTTAAAAGGCAGAGAGAAGGAAGCACGTAAAGAATTAAAAGAAGGATTGGAGGTGTTTACTGCGGCAGCTAATGGACTTAACAATGAACTGCTGTCTTTTACGGATGCAACTAAGAAATGGGCCTCTTTCGTTACTGCTTCAAATTCACAACAAGGGTCAGATCCACAGCCAGTTTTTTTTTCCCAACTTTCTTTGGACAAGTATTTGGCTCAGGAAGAAGAAAACTCTGCAGCTCTTAGCTCATACATAAACAAAAGTTTTGATCAAAGTGTGTCTAAATGGGTTGAAAATTCACATGAAGGCAGCTTTCAGTTTGCAGATGTCAGTGAACAAGACACTTGTGAGGAGACTAATGAAATCTCTGAGGAGACTCAAGAGGTGGTCAGGCTCCAGACAGCATATATTTGTGCTCAACATCAGCTAATTCACATGCAAGCCAAAGAGGAGAGCCTGAATTCAGCTATAAAGTGTGCAGAGAGCATGTTGCAGTCCTTAAACAGCAAGGTAAGCCACAAGAGGTAACAGAAGGTAGTAGAGTTCTGAACAGGCAGGCATGGTCAACTGGGTGTAGTAAAAGAAAATGCTGAGTTTACTGCTCTTTTAGCTGTTTTTACATAATGAGATTGTACAAGTTCTAGTCTTGATCACAAAACTACTCTTGTGAAATAGCTCCAGTTTCTATAGTTAGGAATTTTTCAGTATGGAGTACCTTTAATGCTGCTTTCCAGAATTAAAAAAAACAACTACCTTAAAAGCCCCAGGACTTAGTAGTACTGTTCTAGTTTAGTTTAACTTTGTATTTTCAAATGATAACTGTTTCTCAGTTATTTGTACAGAAAAAACAAAAGCTTAACTTTGCTTGACATTTTGTGGTGCTGAAGAGCTAATATGATTAATGAATTCTTGTTTGTATTCTATAGCATAAACTTAAAAAGTTTTAGTTTGCTGACTTTTTGAAACTCGGGTATTTGTACCAAATAAATGAATCTGATAGTTGAAGCCCCAGAAACCTCTCAACAAGTGAGTGATAGGCAGATATGGCTACTGGAATTTAAGAAATTGTAATAGGAGAAAACACATCAGCTTGTGCTAGTCATGGACTAACTTAAGGCATCATGTCAGTTGGTGTGTTTTCATTTATGGATGACTAGCATGTAGGACTTGATTACAGTTATTTGGAAAAGATTGATTTTGGTAGCAGTGTTGATAATCATCTGACTGACTATCAAAAATTGTGCTTGAAAGATTTCAGTCATGGAAGAGAATAGTTAGGGTTGGAAAGAACCTTAAGATCATACAGTTCCAACACCCCTGCCGTGGGCAGGGACACCTCACACTAAACCATGTCACCCGAGGCTCTGTTCAACCTGGCCTTGAACGCCGCCGGGGATGGAGCATTCACAACTTCCTTGGGCAACCCATTCCAGTGCCTCACCACCCTTACAGTAAAGAACT